CAACACTGTTTGGGCTCTGACATGCCTGGAAGGTCTCAAAGCGCCCTTCTTGTCATATCCTGACGGTACTTTCCTATAGGCATGCAGGGTATGGTCCTCGGTATTGTGGTTTGACTTGAGTGCCCTGCCTTATCTGCGCGCGTCGTTAGGAAGGAGTCGCATGCAGACGTCGGGCGAGGCGGAGCCACCCCTCGAGGGTCGGGCGAGGTGGAGACAGCCGTTGGGGGTCGGGCGAGGCGGAGCCATCCTCAGACGTCGGGCGAGGCGGAGCCATCCTCAGATGTCGAGCGAGGCGGAGCCATCCTTCAGACATCGGGCGAGGCGGAGCCAACCCTTGGGGGTCGGGCGAGGCGGAGCCAGCTCTCAGATTTCGGGCGAGGCGGAGCCATCCCTCGGGAGTCAGCCTGAGGCGTTCCCAACCCTCAGGGTTCGGACGATCGGACGAAACGGAGCCTGCGGCCTTGGTTTGGATGAGGCAGGGCCCACTAGGAAATGTAGTCGCGTTCTTGATCGCTCTGATGAATTAGCGTTGATGGGTATCAACTCCTCTTCTTCGGGTACCCTAGTATTGGTCCCCGACAGTTTTCTTTTTTAAATTCCTCCTTCTAACATACGGCACTGTTTGTTACCTGAAACACATGCCTATTATATGCATGTGATGAAAATTCTGTATCCATTACTCAGGGATATGATCTGATGTTTGTTCGCCTATGAGGTACTAGGCATGGCCTGTCACCTATATTATGGAGTTTTTTTAAGAGTGACCCATCTGTCAGCATGCCCTGAAGCTCCAGGTTCATGAACAAATGTTGATTGACACATTACTAAGGCCTTTAAGAACATCTGCCAACTTTCTATATGGTCCAAGCCTATTTGCTAATAATCTCCTATCCTACCCATTTGCCGGTCTGTGCATTCCACATTCGTTATGGTCTCATGTTCTGACCATTTGCCATTTGCTATTTTTTCCCTACTTCAGGCTGCTATGAAAATTTGGCATTTGTTACTCAACGTTATGATCTGATGGCCAGGCACTTCCAGTTAATCTCAGACTACATTGGTGCTTACAAAAGGCCCTTTTTTCATTTGAACTGCTATACAACAAGGGAAGGGAGTGATTTCAATGGAAGCAGCCGTTTCTTATTCTGAAGATTTTGTTCTTAGTGTTAATACTTAGTACAGACGTGTTATTAACATATGACTATATTGTCATATTCCCCTTATATCCTATATAGGCTTAAGATCTTGGATTAGTTGATTGGTGCTTAAAGTAAACAGCTTTTGTTAACTTTTTTCTCACGTTCCTCCTAAAAATCCTTATGTGCCGTGGTGTTTTACTAAAAACTATTATTAAGCCTCTTATGCATCTGCCGTGATGGCAACATCTTTTCTCTTATTCGTTACTAAAAATATTATTTGGACACAGTTTCCTATTCTTTAATTCTGCCTACAATTAATAATACTTTTTAAAGTTGGAAAATAGCACATGTCAACTTGGAATTCCTATTGACACTACAGGTAAGAGTAGTCATTTTCGAACCTAATGACTTGGCATTTTAAATGCATGTTCTGGTTTACATTTCATATTGATTATAGCTTGCTATATCTAGACTCTGTCCCACTCCAATTATGTCAGTATATTAGATTTTTGCTCCTCCCATATTGTTCTACCAAAATTCTCGTGTAGTACAAAGGCTAAATTCAGAACTTCCTCTGTTTTCATTCCCTATTTAGTTTCCTATCTCTTTTCACATATACATGTGCCTGCTAATTGTAATTATTTTTCAACAGATTACAGAGGTTGAAACCATCAATGATAAAGAAGAATATCTGTCCAAAATTAAATGAACAACTCAACCTTTGCAGCTCCTGTAAAAATAGTATGCATTCTGTTACATGTCATCTCTCCCTTTGTTTCCTAAATCTATTGCCTTTTTTTATTCCATTCACTTCCATAGTAATGCCGCTGCTGCTTTAGCACACAGCACATTAGCTCCGTTAACATTGACATGTAAATATTTCTGTTTATTATTCATGACAATTGTATTTCGCATTTTGCTCATCTATGGTTTGTCACCAATGCCTGGAGCAGAACAGACTCGCGTGGACTCTTTGTCAGCTGCGGCGGCGGCACCTCAGCTGGGCGTCCGGATGTGGTAATATTTTGCTTGTGTTGTCATGAACAATGATTTCCTTTTCTCCAGACATGTGCCGACCGTTTGTTTTCTTAACGACAAATATTGCTATGTCTGCACATTTAGTAACAAAATAATACATATTTGATCATTCTACATATATTCTACAAAACTTCATTTCAGTGGTTATATTATTGGGATATCATAATTTTTTTTTTAATTTAGCAACATCTAGCTATGAAAGCCAAAGGGTTTTGAATGTAATAGTTAGTTTGAGAAAACTGACTCAGTGATAGGTTTCTGATCCTTTAGTATTACTGAACAAATCTGGTTTGACATCTGCAACGGTTATCTCTACGAAGTTTTCAAATAACAAAACAGTATATATGGGACTGGTTGATAAACCATTTTCAATATGCAACAGACTGTTTTGATGCATCGGCAATTCACATCTTATTTAACCATCCATGACTTGCGTGATGCTTAATTTGTACTCATACTGCTTATATTTTTTTTGAATATGTTTTGCTTTCTTCCTGCACAGGTTAGGTTGGTTTTCTTCATTTTGTTGCATGATTGCGTTATGAACAGTATTCGTGTCTCCGCTCCATGTTGAATTCCTTCATATGCATGTCGCGTGTTGCTGCCCTGTGGATCATTTAGGCTTCCTCTCGTTTATGTCGACCTTTTCTATTTTCCCATCTATTTACGCTTGCTGCTTGCTGAGATCAATGCTGTCAAATTTTTACTCCCCTAAGATGTCTTCACCTAATGTCACCTTCTTTGCTTTTGTCCCTTGCTTTTTGGGACTAGCTAGGTACTGCTATAGCCATCCATGTTTTTTTGGACCAGATAGATCCTGCTATATTCATGTCGTTGATATTTATCTTATTCATATGCGTTCAGCTAATGTTACCTCTTTGTTCATGTTTTGATCTTAGAACAGACGAATGGGAAACAACAGCCCACACGCATGCCCCACCAAATTTACGCTGACGTTAAGCATAGTGTGGTAGTTCCCAAGGTACAGTGCCTTTATGCCCCTCATATGTTACATGAAATGCGGATGTAACATAGCCCAACTCTAAAAATTGATTTTAGTTGTCACCAGATGTGGGTCAATCGCTACATTGTTCTCCATGTCATTGATGTTCATTTAGAGACCAAAGAAAATCATGACATACCATGTTCTAGGTTTATTTTTCCACTCTTGGTATCATTACCGTTCCTAGACTTGCACGTTTGACAGTGCCAAAAGGTGAACGGAAGACTTTAGGCAAATGCCATGGGTTAGTGGGTTTATATTGGGAAATGCGTGCTATCCATGTGGAGTATCGATTAGAATAAAACAATCATTGAAACTGTAAACGTTTTTCACGGATACAAAATGTGATTCATTTGTTATGCGTCATTTGTTTCTAGGTCTCGAAGATGAGCTGGCAGAATACGTGGGCAACACATAGTGTTCCAAGTTGCTTCCGCCGTGGGCAACTCGGTTTTAATATTATATGTTACTAGGAACATGCCCGTGCGTTGCAATAGTGAAAATTAATATCACGACAATTTAGATTTAAAAGTGTGCTGCACCGAAAAAATGATTATACTTGTGCGTTGCAACCAAATCAAGTAAACTATGATATCATATTTTCAAGTCTTGAGAGTGCTCCTGCAATTGTTCAACAATCCTCTTTGTGGTATGGTGCAGTGTTGCCTTAGAGCCATGGAGAGCCACAGCCATGCTCAGCAAATTGAAATGAATCGCACAAATAACCTTAGATTAAATAAACCGTGCCTTGCACATTTACGTAAATTTTATAACTTCGGCTGATATCAGAATCGACAAGGACACCAACAATACTGCAAAGTATCCAATAATATACTTCCTTTTAGTTAACTTTTTTCCGGTGATTTCCTGCTCGACGAGTTGTTCATCAGAAGGGAGGCTTGCGGGGCCACTACATGCGCGGCTGATGGAAGGCACGCCGGACGAGCGACGGAGTGAGCGATTTTTCGCACGATGGTGAACGATTCCCTCGGCTTTGATGTCTCACCTGTGGACGAAATAGTTATGAATGTTTTAGTTGTAGAGATTGTCACCACCATGGAGCAATTTGGGATCGTTTACTCTCGCGCGCCATCCACTAGTATATACGGTATATGGTGAAGAGTCCCCTAGCTACGGGGACATTTGTACGTCCATACACGTCACGCGTACTCTCCTACCAAAAAACTCGGATAATAATAACATCATATATGTACTCCTTTTTTACGTAATACTAGCTGCCTCGGAATTCACGAGGCGGATACATACAAATACGTGCGTAATCGTATCGCGTACGTAAAACTTTCCTTATCGATGGATGGGTAGTGTGTCGTGTCGGCGGACACGTCCAGACTCCAGAGCCGAGTCGGACAGTCACGACCGCCTCTACCTATGGGCTACTATATAGCTCGACCGCCAGCTCCCGTCTCGTAACAACCCAACCGATTAGGTCAGATCAGATAAGAGATTCTTTTGGCGCGCGCGCGCGCACGACCGAACGAAGTCTCACATCGCGGCGGCGCGGCGCAGCTGAACCGGCGGCGGAGGAACCAGCTAGGTCTCGGCGGCGATGTGCGGCGCTCCTGTTTTCCCCGCGATCCCGACGCGCTTCGTCTACAGGCCGCAGGCGGCGGCGGCGGCGGCGGCGGTTGTCACGGACGTCGGCTCGCCACCGCCTTCTAGCCCGTCGGGCTGGTCCTCCTCGTCGCTGGAGATGGGCGCGCCGCCGCACGAGCACGACACACTGGGCGAGACGTACGCGGCGCTGCTGTCGCCGCAGCAGCAGCTGATGGCGGGGGCTGCTGGCGGCGGCGGCGCAGCAGATGGTGCGATCGAACCCGCAGGTCTCCCCCAAGGTGGCGACGCGCGGCGCCCCCGATCAAGATGCGCTTCGTCCCAAACACGATGATGCCAGCGGCGGATGTCATGGACGCCGGCTCCTCGGCGCCCTCGCCCTCGCACTGCTCGTCCTCGTTGGAGACGACACCCTCGCCGCGCGGGCCGCTCCCGTCTCCCTTGTCGGACTACTCGGCGTGCGCGTCCCAGCACCTGACGCCCGGCGCGGCGTGGGGGCTGGCGACGAAGCTGCCGGCGCCGCGCGTGGAGGTGCGGCAGGTGTGGCGCACAACTTCGACCAGGAGGCCAAACTCATCGAGTCGCTCCTGCCCAGGTTCCGGTACGTGGCCGTAGACACGGAGTTCCCGGGGACGGTGTACCGGCCGGCGGGACCGGCGTACACGCTCAAGCCGGAGGAGCGGTACAAGCTGCTGAGGTCCACCGTGGACGCGCTGGACCCGATCCAGCTCGGCCTCACGCTGTTGGACAAGGGGTGCCGCCTCCCTTCCCTCGGCCTCGGCGACGGCGCCCCGGCCACGCGGTACGTGTGGGAGTTCAACTTCCGCTAGTTCGACGTCCGGCGGCACCGCCACGCGCCGGAGTCCATCGCGGCGCTGCGGGCCCGGGGCGTGGACCTGGACCGGACGCGGCGGCACGGCGTGGACGCGGCGGCGGCGTTCGGCCCGCGGCTGCGCAAGTGGGCGCGCGCGGGCCTCGGCCGCGCCGGCGTCGTCACGGCCAGCGGCGGGTACGACCTCGCGTACCTGGTGAAGATGATGTTCGGGCCTGGGTTTCGGATGCCCGCGTCGGCGGCGGAGTTCGAGGTCGTCGCCAGGGCGGCGCTCCTCCGCCGTCGGAGGGTGTTCGACGTCAGGGAGATGGCGAGGCTCTGCCCGAGAGACGACCTCCGCGGCGGGCTGGACAACGTCGCCGCGAAGCTCAACGTGGCGCGGGCCGCCGGCAAGGCGCGCCAGGCCGGCTATGACAGTCTGCTCAGTTGCTACACGTTCGTGGAACTGAGAGAGATATGCTTCGACGACGATGGCAAGCTGACGAGCGTCGACGGGATCCTCGCCGAGATTACGGCGTTCTAGCTCGTTACTGCCTTGCACGTAAATACGGACTTGTACTTTACATGTAAGCAGCATTATTTTGGGTTAAAGTACATAGGATTTGATTAGGGTTTAGGAATTAGGATGCATGCATAGTAAAACATTTTCATTGTTCGTTATTTTGTTGCATAGTTTGAAGCCTAATAATAATGCAATGTGCAAGTCATGTTACAAAATTTGTCATTTTTCTTAAAAAAATATTGGAAGGACTACCGCCCAGACTTCCGGCCGCATGACTTGTCCAAACACTGCTCCCACACCTACGCTCGCATCGCATCCCACGCCCCGCATCCCAACCCATGCCAGCACTTGCGTCCGAACGCAACGCCTCCGAACGCAGCACCCTCGATGATCTGCACCCCAACGCCAATGCCAAAGCGAGATGGAGGGAAGGGAAGGGAGGAGAGGGAGAGGGCAAGGCACACGTCGTGAGAGGTAGGAGCCGAAGCCCTGCGGCAGACCGTTGTCCCTCAGCCATTGGCGCCATTGCAGCATGTGCAATACTCATATCTACTTTTGAAACATTCAAATGAAACATTTGCAACATACGTCTAAAACAGATGAAACTCTTGAAACATGCATGTATAGCCATTTGCGACATGTGCAACACTAAGATCTACTTTTGGAACATCAATATGAAACATTTGCAACATACATGTAAAACACCTGAAACACTTGAAATATAGGCTTGCAACATGCGTATTTTGTCATTGCAACATCCAGATCTAACACTTGAAACAAAGGTTTCAAACGCCTAAAACACTTGAAAACATATGCAACATCCAGATAGAACACTTGAAACAAAAAGTCGAAACACTTGAAACACAGTGTTCGTTGTGCGGGGCCGACCTACCTAGTGGGAAACTGCGGTATAGATTGGTGAGGAGGACAGGGAGCGGATGGAGGCTGCCCTAGCGGAGGCCCTAGAGTGGCAATGACAAGGCCCATTTGCGACCTTGGATTCCTTTCATCTTCCTCCTCCGCTGCATTGGCTGGGCACTTCGTATAGTAGGTACCGGGAGCGGGGGAATGGGTGAATGGGTGTCGAGAAGGGGCACTGTGAGCTTCCCCATCTCCGTCTTGCCACTACTACAAAAAAAATTATATGAGACGTTTGACAAAGGGGCTTGGAGGCGGGCGGGCTTTGGAACCGCCTTGATTAATACGTGGGATTAACCGAGGTGGTCATTTTTTATTAACCGAGGCGGTCACAATCAACCGCCTCGCAAAATCGATTTGCCGAGGCGGTTAAAAGATAAACGCCTCCTAAAATCTATTAACCAAGGCGGGCCTTATAAGTGGCCTGCCTCAAAAAATACCTCCATTTTTGGAGACGGGCCTTATAAGTGGCCCGCCTCGGTTAACAAGGCCGAGGCCCCCAGGTGAGGCCTGATAGGGCACTCAAGTATATATAGAATACTTAGGGTTTCTGTCAACTTCACTCCGCGCCTCTCTCTCTCTCTCTCTCTCTCTCTCTCTCTCTCTCTCGGTCTCCATTTTGAGCGGCGCCCCTAAGCACGACGCTCTCCCCTCCTTCCCTCCTCCCTCCCTGAGCGGCGCACCTTCCTCCCCTCTGGCGCGGCGCCCCTCCCTTCCCTCCCTCCGTGAGCATGGTGGCCCTCCCTATCCTCCCTCCCTCTCTCTCTCTTAGGTTGATCCGGCGGCCCTCCCTCTCTCCCCCCCCCCCCTCGTGGATCTGGTAGGCACGGGCGCGGGCGATGTGGGCTGCGCGGCGGTGCTCCTCCTCCTCCACCTCTACGTCAACTCTGACGACGGCGTGGAGGCTGGATCCGGTGGCGTGGAGGCCAGATCCGGCCTCCCCACGGCGGCGCTCCTCCTCCTCCACCTCTACGTCAACTCCGGTGGCGTGGGTCTCCCCGCAGCGGCGCTCCTCCTCCTCCACCTCTATGTCAACTCTGGCTGCAGTGAGGAGGCCGGATCCGATGGCGTGGAGGCCGGATCCGGCGGCCCTCCTCCTTCTCCTCTGTGTCAACTCCGACTGCGGGGAGGCCAGATATAGCTACGGGGAGGCTGGATCTGGCTCGACGGTGGAGGACGCACCCCAGCTGCGGATCCAGCGAGCGATGACGGCGGCGGCACGTGGACGGGCTCGGCGGGCCCGTTGATGAGCTCGCTTGGCTTGTCCATGGGCTTTCTTTTTTTTTTTGATTAACCGAGGTGGGAGGACGGCAGAGGAGGATGGCTTGCCCGCCTCGGTTAATCGAAAATGCCCGACTCGGTTAATTTTTACGTAGTAGTGTGCCAGGCATGCCGACTCCATCCGAGCTGCGACCTTGGATTCCTCTCGTCCTGCCCCTCTGTTGCATCTGTCAGGCACTTGGAGAAGAAAGGCTGCCACCACACTTGGGAGGGAGAGCACAGAGAGGTAGGAGAGAGAAAGAGCAAGAACAGGTGGGGTAGGTGGGAAAAGGACATGTTATTTATTTCTACGAGGATCCGTCACTAAAAATTTGTGTGTTTCATCCGATGTGTTCGGACATAAGTTGCGTCCGAATGCCCTAACCAAAGCATTATCGAAAATTATTGGTCTTGTAAAAAACTGGTATAAATCTTCAGGGCTTCAGCCTAGAAAGAAACTACAATATTCTTCTGAAAAGTGCTAGAGAGATATTTTCTAAAAATAATGTCGGTTAAGTAAAGAGGCATCAAGATGTATATGCTGCAAACAAACTTGGACTGCCATATAAAAGGAATCTAGTTAGATTGAAAGTCTTAAACCTGATTTACTAAAGATATAGACTTTAGATTGGTTTGTTTCAGAGATGTTGGAAACCTAAACAATGTGACAATTTGTATCAATACGGCACCAAAATAAATGACCTAATCCATCAGTATTTGCATGGGGGGAAATCGTACCACATCAAACTTGTTAATTTAAAATGGCTTTTCGAGTTTATCAAAACTTTGGTGGTTTCTGGGCCACTATATTACATATTCAGCTAAGAAACCATATGAGCCTGTTCGCTACATATAGATTTAAGCCATAGCAGCTGTTGGCGCTGAGAAGAAAAATAGCAAAGACTGCACCATCTCTTATTTTCTTCTTCGTTTATCTATTTTCACCAAGCTATTAGCCTAGTTAAGTGTTTCCATCCAGGATCCTACATGAATTTACATGAATCAATTCACTTTTGATAGGAAAAACATAGCAAGCACGAAAACTTCCCACATTCTAAAGGGGGCCTAACATGCAACATCAAAATCCAAACCTAATCCCCACCATAACCACCAAAAACCACGACCCTACAATCTTGCCAGAGAAAGAAAAAAGGGGTTAATTTCGATGGAGTTGGAGTGAAGAGTGAAGATTGACGTTTGAAAGAAAAATCCAGGCATAGAAGAGGTAAAAACATCCGAATATTATATAGTAAGTACTCCCTCCATTAGTAAGCAAATCAACTTAGTTGTCCTATGCCAAACTTTTATGAAAATTAACCAATTTTATAAGACAAAATATTAACATGTATAGCATTAAACGAGTACGCTATGAAAATATATTTATGATCTATCTAATGATACTAATTTTGTGTCATGAATATTAATGTTATTTTCTATATAGATTTAGTCAAACTTACAAAAGAAATTGACCTAGTACAACTCTAGAAGTTGATTTATAAGCCTTCATGTCCCTTTTGCAGTTTGTACCTACATAGGAGTATATATGTTTAGCAGGAACATATAGTAAAAGCAGCCATGCATGAAATCAATCCATCAAGGTCATTAGACGATCTTTTCATCTCGGACCACAGGCAAATTAACACGTTGCCACGGTGAGCTACACTCACGCTGTGCCATCACATGACTAACATTGGCATGCAAGGCATACACTCATTCTACACCACCAACGATTGGCTATATATCATCACCATAACACACGCATGAAAGATTAGCTAAAACTGCAAGGCTCTGGATCAGGTGGAAACCATGTTCCTGTGCAAACTTTGAAAACTATCGATCTAGACCACAGGTTGCGCATCCGATGGCTAGAGATGGAGGTGGGGCTTTTTTGCACTTAAACGCCCGCCCCCAGCACTGCTAATCATGTTGTTTTGCAAATCACCCCTCCTCTAATCGCAGCGCACCCAGCAAACAGGTCCGTGTTATCGCCCGGCCCGTTCGTCTTTTCCATCGGAAGCAGGCGAGATCCCGCCGCCGCGTGCCCGCGACTCGCCGGCGGGCCGCCCTCCGCCTCGCCGTTCTCTGCCGCCGCCGTTCCCTGCGCGCCTGGCTGCGACTCTCGCCCAGCGCAGCCGGATGGACGTCGTGCTGGTGCTCCGGGTCCTGCTCTCCGTCGCGCGCCCGAGGACCACGGCCCTCGGCAAGGTGCCGGGCTCCGCGGAGGCGTACCGGAGGATGGACCAGTACGCCACGGCGCGGGCCACGCCGGGGGTGCTCGTCCTGCGCGTCGACGCGCCCATCTGCTTCGCCAACACCAGCTACCTGCGGGAGAGAGTCTCGCCGGACGAGATGGTCTGAACTCTGAAGCTCTGAATATCATTGACATGAACACTAGGTTCTACAGTGTGTCTGACTGTACTTCTTGAAATTGAATGTACTCATAGAAGATGACGAAATATATAAACTAGTATCTTTGCAATTTCAGTCTATTTTTTCACCGAAAGTGCTTTGCAATTTTTCATGCAGTTGAGTTCAGTTCAGTTGAGTCACAGAATTGAAAATAAACTAGTATCTTGTGCATTTCAAAAGGAGTTCACAGAAAGTGGTTAACTAAATTCTTCTTCTGAACTATGGCTTCAGCCACGAGGTCATATTGCAGGTACACTCGAACTGCAATTAAAAAAAAAGGAGCATGGTACAGTCGTACATTGTAGTGAACTCAAAATCCAAAGTACATTGCAGTGTTTACAAGAAGCACAAGAGTAAATTGTTCAATTGAATTATCAGCCAACAACATTGTTTGGGCAATTACGTGCATCATGATTCCCTTCTTGCTTACATTTTCGACACGTCCGTTTACCTTTACCCTTACTTCCAGCCTTCTTCTCCTTCGTCTCCTTGCTCTTCTTAATTCTTTTGCATCTCCCTTTCGAGTTGACATCATTTGGTAGATGTATATCGACCTCTTTTGGAATTTTACTACCAAGGAAAGATTCATATTCATCCTGTTTTTCAACTCTCATAGCAGGCATGATCTTTTGGAAAGGTTCTACTAGGTTGGATAAACTAGAATATAAAAAGTCCATCCCTTGTTCAGAGCTCTTGACCATTTGAATAAGATCTTCAAACTTGTTGCGTGAATCTAAAATCTTTTTCCGCATGGCCACCTCCATAGGATCTTTAGGCTTTTCATCTAGTAGGTTACCTTCCTCATCAAAGAATAGTTCCCTGTAAAATTAAAGATCTGATCAAGACTATTGTACAAAACAGAAAATATAGGTGAACAGCGAGGAAAAAAATAAGTACACACCTTTTACATCTTTTCTCCCATCGCTTCATTATATATAACGATGGTATCTCAGTTTGCTTCTCGGCTCTAAGGCCTTGTATGATATGACGACATGGGATGCCATAAGACTCATATAATTTACAGGAGCACCTACCAAACATGTTCGACTTGTTCATCTGAACAAATCGATCTTTTCCAGTTTGGCTGCTGATGGTGAAACATTTTATATCTGCACACTCTGAAATACCTTGAATAATGCAATGGTCTCTTGCAGCTAAGATTTGTTCCTGAAATTTACTGAAAACTTCATGTGTATATATCAGACTACATTGCTTCTCCATGGCCCATGGTGTCATCAATTTAGGAGTGGTGTGAAGACTTGTATTGTCAGCTTTCAATTCCTCTTGGCGCTGGCACTCCAAAGCTATGTCAAACCTTAGCCAGAACTCAACAAAGGTCAACTTTCTACGAATGAAACAGTTAAAAAAAGAATTTGCACTCTCCGATCGTGATGTAGTCCTAAGCATTCCTGCTAGAGGTATGTCCAAAAAGTATACCGGAATCCATGAGTCGCGAATGGCAAACCTAGTGGAAAACCAATCGTTTCCCATGAGTTCATAATCTGTTATGATAGCATTCCATTGTGACACAAAATCATCTGAATTCTCGGTCCCCCAAACACACTTGTTTAGTCTTTCCCAAAACTTTTCATCTTTTCTTATAGAGGGCCCCACCTTCTCAGATACCTTTTCCATGATATGCCACATGCAAAGTCTATGAGCTGTATCTGGCAAAATCTGAGCAATAACAGCCTTCATGCTCGCATCTTCATCGGTTGTGATTAGATGAGGTGCTACTCCACCCATAGCCTTAAGAAAGGTGTTAAACAACCATACATATGAATCGATCTTTTCATCTGCTAAGAATGCTGCCCCAAGGAAAACACTTTGCAAGTGATGATTAACTCTAGTGAATGGCACAAATTTCATGTTATACTGGTTGGTGGTATATGTTGCATCTCCCGAAACCACATCACTAAAAACACTATAGTTTTTCCTGCATAAAGCATCTGCCCAAAATACGCGAACAAGTCGTCCTTGTTCATCCACCATAAACTCATAAAAGAAGGCTGGATTTACTTCCTTCTTTCGCTCAAGTTGTGCCACAAACATTTATGCATCTCCATCCTTGATTTTGGTTCTGAGGTCACGGTAATAGTTTTTCAAATCCATCAGTGTGCACCCAACATTCTGAAACCCACCCTCACTGACATGGAGAAGTCGATATGCCTGTGAGGTGCCAATGCTAGCCTTATGACAATTGAACAAAGCACTCTTTGCCCTCTCATTGACATTACTGTTGGATCTTAGCAAATGCCTCTTATCTGGCGACACAAAACCATGGTTGTGTTTCTCAACCATTGAAAATATTCGATACTTCTTGTCGCTACCAAGCTTGACGACAATATGTGCCTCACAACCACATCTGGTTTCCATCACATTATGTGTGGCTCTGGATCAGGTGGAAACCATGCTCCTATGCAAACTTTGGAAACTATCGATCTAGACCATATGCTGCGCATCCGATGGCTAGAGATGGAGGTGGGGCTTTTTTGCACTTAAACGCCCGCCCCCAGCACTGCTAATCATGTTGTTATGCAAATCACCCCTCCTCTAATCGCAGCACACCCAGCAAACAGGTTCGTGTTATCACCCGGCCCGTTGGACGGAGACGGGATCAACGGCGACGACGGCATCAACGGCGACGACGGCATCAACGGCAACGTCACGCACGCCGGACTCCATGGCAGCAGCGGCGCAGACTCACGGCGCAACTCTTGACGAGTCTCCTCCGCCTACAGACTCACGTATGAGATGAGCATCAGACTCACGTATGACATGAACAAGCTAACGACTCCATGCCGGACTCACGTAAGAACAGGAGGATACTCACGTATGAACTGATTCAGATTAGTCTGGGCGTCGTCCCGATTCGTCTTCGCATCGGCGTCTAGCGAATCAACGTCGGCGTCTAGTGAATCCGGGAGCCAGGAGGTGGTGGCGCGCTTGCGATGCCGTCCTCGTCCTGCCCGCCTCGCCGAACAGCTCGTGGCCGCCGCCGGCGCCCAGGAAAAACGAAACGACGCCAAACTATCGACACAGACCTGTTTGCTGGGGGGGTGATTTGCAAAACAACATGATTAGCAGTGCTGGGGCGGGCGTTTAAGTGCAAAAAAGCCCCACCTCCATCTCTAGCCATCGGATGCACAGCCCGTGGTCTAGATCGATAGTTTCCAAAGTTTGCACAGGAACATGGTTTTCACCTGATCCAGAGCCAAACTGCAAAGCTTATTCCACCATTTACACAAACAATCATCATCAATTTATTTATGCGTCCATGCATGGATGCATCGCTGGACATTATTTTTGCTAGGTGCTGCCTACGGCTAGAGATGAATCGATCGATCACTTGCCCTCCTGTCCGCCATGGCCATCGCCGGCGCGACCTCCCGCGGCGATCCACGACACGAAGGCGTCCATGGTGCTCGCGTCCGACCGGTAGTGCTTCTGCGTGAACTCGAGGAACTCGCGCCACGTGAAGTCCGGGAACGCGCGCGGGCGGCGGCCCTTCTCCAGCTGGAGAAGGAGCGCGTCCGGCGGGCGGACGACGCGGTCCAGCGGCGGGTTGAGGAAGAAGGCGAGCGACCTGCGTGCGCGGTCACCGCTCACCACGGCGCGGTGGAGGCTGCTGGCGTGGCGCCCGTCGGTGAGCGCGGCGAAGGTGTCTCCGATGTTGACCACGAACGCGTCCGCGCGGGGCCGCACGGCGCGCCACGCCCCGTCGCCGTCGCGCACCTGTAGGCCGCCCACGTCGTCCTGGTGCAGCAGCGTGAGTGACGTCGGGTCCCGGTGCGGGCCCGTCCCCAGCGTCAGGTGCGGCTGCCGGCACGCCGGGTAGTGGTTCAGCCTCATGATGGAGTCGCCGCCCGCGAAGACGCCGCGCAGCGCGCCGCGGCGCAGCCCTAGCGCCGCCGCCAGCACCTCCGTCACGTCCAGCGCCAGCCGCGCCATCTCGTCGCAGTACCCCTGGTACACCTCCCTGCATGCATGTGTTTCGATTCGTGCGCCCTTGTAACAAGTACGTACACTATGGCTATATATGCACGGGTTTTGACACGATTGTAAGTACCCCATGTGGCGGTAGTCCTCGCCGAGGACGTCGACGAAGTAGTCGACGACGGCGCCGGCGCGCTCGTTCCCGGCGGCGGCGGCGGGGCAGTTGAAGGAGAGCGTCTCCTTCCACGGCAGGCAGCAGCGGAAGCGTCCCGTGAAGCTGCTGGCGTAGCCGTGGGACTCGCCGGGGCGGCACTGCGCGCGCTGCTTGTCGGCGAGCGGGCGCAGGTAGAAGGCGTCGAGGCAGCGGTAGGCGTCGGCGAGCAGCGCGGCGCGCACGCCGTGGTTCACCACCTGGAAGAAGCCGTGGCGCTCGCACGCCTCCGCCACGCCGCCCGGCAGCTCCCCGTCCCCGCGGCGGAGGAACCCGCCCAGGTCGACCACGGGGATGGCGATCTCCTCCGTCCGCCGGCGCCCGCTCCTGGGCGGACCACACGAACTGCGCCGGGATGCGCTCCTCCCGGCTCAGCACCTCCGCGTCGAACACCACGGCCGCCGCCGCCGCCGCCATGCCGGGAAATCCGATCGCGTGCAACGAAAGCCAGAGGCTTTATCCCCGCATTGCAAGAACCAACCAACAGGCTGCACTAGCGGCTCGTCGGCGACGGCCGGTGCGGCCATATATAGCGGCAACGTCACGTGTCGGAGCGGGGGGCGGTCACTTGTTTTGGAACGGGTTAAACGTTTTTTTGGTGCTGTCAGCTAATTACGGGAGCCAGGTCACCGTAATCTGCTCCTCCAGCGTGTTTCGGATAAACACTGCATTAATTGTACGTGTTCATCATGTCGTTATCTCGTCTGTTTTTCTTTTTTTTCTTTTTGAATGAATTTGAATTTGAAGAGCTGGTGGGTGAGTGGTAACGCTTGCCAGGTCTGATTTGGACGTTGTGTGACTCATTTGGCTGGAGTTATACCCAAAACACAAGACCCATTTCACGTTTGGATAGCGCTACAGTTAAAGGGTTCAATACCCATTTTTAGTCTTCTCCAACAATATCCAAAAGAGAACCCTTTTCTGTAAATGAGTCTCCAGGAGAGAGGATATTCAGATTTGGGTTATACCTCTCTTGGCACCTAAAATGGGTCTTCTATATAGGTAATCTGTTGGAGGCTATATGTATTATGTTGCAGACCCATTTTGAGTTTGGGTCTCCTTACAGCTGTCGGAGACAGCCTTAGAACAAGCATTCATGGGAAGTGTGAGCCTGGTAATATATGGAGGATTGACGATAAGCACATATTTAATCACTGTGAATGCTGGATTGTGAATTCTGCAAGTATTTACTTACTGTGTATGAAATATATGGAGGGCTAGCTTTAATTTCACGTGATCAAATCAAATCAAAAGGAGAAAGATTGGATTGAATAGATTTTTTTGAGCAAATATTGGATTGGATAGATGACCACCACTGGACGGAATTGGGTGCCCGGACTTGTTGGGCCAGGATGTGAAGGCCCATGGAGTGTGCTGTTGGTTCGAAAAAAAGGCATTTTGTGCCCCAATAACTTTGCTCGAAGTTTGATCTGATTGTCCTTCATCAGCAATTAGAAAATCGGATGCCTGTGTTATAAAACACGTTGTCGACGTCGGATCGACTCTCGCTCTCAATAGTAACGTAAACACAGAAGTGAACACAAGAAAACAATTGTGGGACTATTATTTATTGCTTTCTGGATATCGATAATTACAATGGAGGATCACCCACATATATATAGTCCGAATATGTCCTAGAGTTTGGTAAGCGCCCACATGACAAACGGACTAGGATTATAATTCCTCCTTCTCCCCTTTCTATATTCCAAAGTCCGTATGTTTTACAATACTCCCCCTTGGGCGATTACCACGATATTATGTCTCGTTAAAAACTCCATCCGAAAACCCAGTGGAAAAAAACGGTTCATGGAGAAAAGAGTACTTATATACCGTTCTTGTTAATTGTACATGTATTGCCTCGTTAAAACCTTTATGAGAAACTTCAGGAAAACTCATAATAGGAAAAAGAGTACAATAATAATCTTCAAGATTTTATTAAACACTTTTAAAATGATCACTGTGTCTCTTAGACATAACAATCAAGATTATTTAATCAAGGAGTTCTCCCCCTAATTCTTGTATTTCTCTTAGTCTCTTCATGCCAAGCCCACGTATGCACTTTTCAAAAATTGGTGGAGCTAAAACCTTTGTGAATACATCTGCAAGATTATCACAAGATTTGACACAAGTTACCATAATTTCTCCATTCTTTTGCAATTCATGCGTGTAGAAAAATTTAGACGAAATATGCTTCGTGACATTTGATTTAATATAACCCGATTGAACTTGTGCAACACAAGCTGAATTATCTTCATAGATAATATTAGGGGTAGGCGCAATATTAATTCCACATGTATTCTGTACATGCTGATGAACACGCCTAAGCCAAATGTTCTCTTTGGCTGCTTCATATAATGCAATGATTTCAGAGTGGTTAGTGGATGTTGCTACCATAGTCTGCTTAGATGACTTCCATGAGATTGTTGTTCCACCACTAAGAAATACATACCCAGTCTGTGATAATCCGTTATGGGGATCGGATAAATATCCTGCATCCGTATACCCAATTATGCTAAGATCTTGTTTCTTCCGGAAATATAATCCAAGATCAATAGTACCTCTAAGGTACATAAGAATTCTTTTTATGCCACTCCAGTGCCTTTTGGTCGGAGCCGAACTAAACCTTGCCAATAGGTTAACAACAAATGCAATATCTGGCCTTGTACCATTTGCAAGGTACATTAACGCACCAATGGCACTTAAATAGGGATACCCAGATCCTAATATTTCTTCTCCTTGTTCTTTGAGTCTAAAAGGATCTTTCTCTACATCAAGGGATCTCCCTATCATGGGTGTACGTTTGGGATGTGCATTTGCATGATGGAATTTTTCTAATACCTTCTTGGTATATGCAGACAGGTGCACTAAAATCTCTTTGTGGGTATGTTCTAAGCTGCAAGCTTAAGCAAAATTTAGTTTTGCCCAAATCTTTCATTTCAAATTCAGATTTTAGGTAACTACTTGCTTCTTCGATGTCTTTTGTAGTTCCAATGACATTCAGGTCATCTACATAGACTCATACTATACAAAATCCTTTCTCGGATTTTCGTATAAATACACAAGGACAATCTTCATTCTTCAGGAATCTCTTCTCTTCAAGAAAATCGCTAAGATGATTATACCACATTCTTTCAGATTGTTTTAAGTCATAAAGTGATCGTTGCAATTTTACACTGTACATGTTACGTTGTGCAGGTTTAGGGATGGTAATTCCTTTAGGGACTTTCATATAAATTTCAGCATCTAATGACCCATATAAATATTCGGTCACGACATCCATTAATTTCATCTGCAAGTTCATACTTGCTGCCATTGATATCAAATACCGGAATGTGATTCCATCCATTACCGGAGAATAAGTCTCATCGAAATCGATGCCAGGTCTCTGCGTAAACCCTTGTGCTACTAGTCTCGCTTTATATCTTACCACCTCATTATTTTTGTTCCTCTTCCCAACGAAAACCCATTTGTGTCCTACGGGAATATACCTTTAGGGGTTCGGCATACAGGGCCAAATACTTTCCTTTTATTTAGCGAGAGTAATTCAGCTACAATTGCTTCTTTCCACTTAGGCCAATCAGAACGCTTCTTCATTCTACCAATGTTTTTGGCTCAAGATCTAGATCAGTTTTAGCAATCTTCTCAGCAAAATATATGTCGACATTAGTAGTCTTTCTATCATATACTCCTCCTGTTTCAACATAATTTGTTGAATTCTCTATTATTCTTTCACATTCGTCCTGATTAACCGGTATATTTAAATCAGGAATTTCCGATCTCCCATCGTGAGTTTTTTAATGTGCACATTCTCACTAGGTTCATCTTCAAGATGAGTCACTACTGGTGTACCTTCACTTTTATTCTTATTTTCTTTCTGCCCAGTCTTAAGCTTCTTAGGACGTCTCCATGTAGCTATAGACTGAATAGACGCACCTTTTTCTTTATTAGTATTTCTACTTTGTCTCCCCCTCTTCAGAGTACGAGGAGTCAGTGTAGATTTTACTTGGAATTTCAATTCATCCATTTCATGTGGTATTTCTATTCTTTCAGGTGTGTTTACTGCAGGTACATGGGATTTCATAATCCCTTTAGTATTAGTGAAGGCTTCAGGCAGTTCGTTTGCAATTCTTTGCAAATCTATTATATTCTGAACTTCAAGTTCATTTTCTTTAGTGCGAGGATCCATTCCAAGGACCCCAGTGCTTTCCCATGTTATTGCTCGGCATTCGTCCCTAGCAAGTTACTTTCCTTCCCCTAATGTCGGGAAATGATCTTCATTAAAAATACTATTAGCAAACCGAGCCATATGCAAATCTCCAGTTGATGGCTCTAAATATTTTATTATTGATGGGCTTTCAAATCCTACGTAGATTCCTAGACTACGCTGAGGCCCCATCTTTGTTCGCTAAGGTGGTGGTATAGGAATGTATATAGCACATCCAAATTTACGCAGATGGGAAATATTTGGTTTTATTTTTCGCACTAATTGTATCGGTGATACATCATGGTATGCATATGGTCTAAGTTGAATTAATGCTGCTGCATGCAACACAGCATGCCCCCAACAAGTGGATGGTAGCTGACTGTTCTGTATCAATGGCCTTGCAATTAACTTGATCCTCTTAATTAATGATTCTGCTAGACCACTTTGTGTATGCACGTGTGGCACATAGTGATCAACTTTAATTCCTAGAGACATACAATAATCATTAAATACCTTCGAGGTAAATTCTCCAGCATTATCCATTCTGATGGATTTAATTCTTGAGTCTGGAAAATTAGCTCGTAATTGAATTATTTGGGACATTAATCGTGCAAAAGCATGGTTTCTGGTAGAGAGAAGGCATACGTGGCTCCACTTCGTGGAAGCATCAATTAACACGGTGAAGTACCAAAATGGCCCTGTCAGGGGACTAATCGGACCACAAATATTACCCTGAATTCTTTCCAGAAATGATGGTGATTCATCTCTCACTTTTAAAATAGAGGGTCAAGTTATTAATTTCCCGTTGGCACATGCAACGCACACAAAATCTTCATGATTAGGGAAATGGTTCTTCTTTAAATTATGACCATTTTAATTATTAGTAATTCTTTTTATCATGCTTAGACCAGGATGTCCCAAACGATAATGCCATATTCTGTATGACTCATTATTTCTTAGGATCATTTGCATTGTAACATGTTTTTTAGTTGGCCTAATATATGTGTAGTACAATGCTTGACGCATGGAAGGAAAAAATTCGACAATCTTCTTGTTGTCTCCTATTGACTTAGTCATAATTAAGCGTTCTTCGCCTTCATCATCATTTGTTTCTAAATGATAATTATTTGCACGTATATCCTTAAATGAAAGCAACGTTCTAGTTGATTTAGGATAAAGCAATGCTTCTTGGATTACTAGTTCCATTCCATTA